TTGTGGGTATTTGGGGTGGGTATGGGGGTGTGCGTGGGGTTACTAGGGGTTCTGGACTGCGGGGTGCCTCCGACCTCCGACCGGTAGGTGCCGACCAGCCGCCCGGCCGGCGGGTCGGCAGCTGACCAGTCAAGGGTCGCTGACGGTCGGCGTGTGCAACACTGGTGGAGGACAGATTATTATTATTATTTGGCCCTGCCATACATTGGTTCTTCAGACTTCTTCTTTTTCTCCCTCTTCATCCATCCTCCATATGCCACCTCACACCTCGTCTATGAATGACAATAGAAGGGATATCTTTCTATGATTGGACCCCTCCCCGCTGTACGTGAGCTCAAATCTGATTCGGCTGTGTTATATGCTTGAACTTTTCACTGCCGACGGTTCACTTTGGGCATACATAACTGCCCCTAAACATCGCATTTTTTACGGCACGAGGGCACAACACCTTGGCCAATCCATGCTTCACAGGACACAGACAAGAACTTCAACTTTGACTTCCGTCCCCCCTTCCAAAGATGCACCTCACACAGGAAGATCAGGTTAAAACCTGCACCCCTTCTAACAGAATTACTGCAAGCAAACATAATGCAATGAAATGCAGAGACAGTAAGAATAAACTTTTTCAAGTTTTTCTGACATTTCTTTTTGCCGACTCTCCAGAAAAACACGAGCTAACCTGCACAACCACACGAATCAAGATACAGAACAATCCACGACAGCGAAAAAGAGTAAAGTACCTGCAACGTCACCGACGACGTGATGAACCCAAATGCGTACTCCCCAACTCGCGGATGTCTGATGATAGCAACCTCCTTGAAGGCCTGCGTGTTTTGATCTACAAGAAACAAAGCGATAACAAATCAGTGCAAATAACAGTCCTGAAAGAGGAGAGAGACCAAGACACAAACAGGAAACCATAATTGTTAAAAGCCCATCAAGCCCGCAACACCATCATTACCTGATGTCAATCCTTTCAAGGCATACAAAGCAGTAATCAGTCAGTTACCAATGCCAATGTCGCATGTCTATAAATGGAAGATATGCATGATCCAAGAACACACCAATGGAGAGAAACAACAATGTCATGCAGAGGAAGACTGACAAACACAGATCTGACTCGTCAGGACTCGAGACACAACACAACATCCATCATCACTCACAGGGATGGGCATGGCAACTCGTACATGGAAGAGATTGTCGTCATGCCCCATACTCGTAGCGAGGAAATCTCACACACCGAGGAGGCGAGGAGGGAGACAAAGGAAGAAGAGGAGACTGCAACTCAATGTCCCTGCCAAAAATAGTCTCCCATAATAGTCGCCCATAGTCTCCGCCCAAATGTAGTATCGGAGTCTTGCCATACCCCGAAATTGTCACCAAGTCTCAACTCTCTCTCTCTCTCTCTCTCTCTCTCTCTCTCTCTCTCTCTCTCTCTCTCTCTCTCTCTCTCACACACACACACACACACACACACACACACACACACAGAGGAGGTGGATATAGAGGGCAATATACAGAAAGAAGAAGAAGAACAGCCAAAACACCTCAGCCAAGTATTTGTTTACAGCATGGACGTGTACGTTTCTGGAACCCTAAAATTGGTCATCCATTGCTAAACATACGGGGCATGCAATTTGGCTGCAACACCAATGCATGTTGAAAGAAAATGCCCCCCTCCTCGGCTGCTCAACTTTTTACCTCACACCGATAGCTGCAACATGTAAACATCAATATTAAGAACATGCCGCACAAGCTCTCCTGCAAGCAGAGATAAATAAAGATGCACTCAAGGGAAATAAAGTAGCCGTCTCCGTAAAGCAGTCAACGCAGCACACATTCGACCAAGCATCTCCAGCGGGATCTCATAACACGATTGGTACATAACATAGACTCACTGGAGAGCAAGAAAGCACCACTGCATGAAAAAACAAGCGGTTTTAAGGAACAAAGCAGACAACAACACAATCTCAACCAGGCATTGCCAGCCATCCCTTTTCCAAACTACATTCCACTCCCGCTCACTCACCTGGCGATATCGCTGAGCTTATCTGCTTTGAGGCTGAGTAGATATGTGTGAGTTGCCGTCAAGGAGGAACAAGCAGCAAACTCCTGAATGCAAAACCAGCCTCAGATCACAAAGAAACTAGGCTACCAGCCGGGCCGTCCAGGTGACCTTGTTTTCCCGGGCGACCCAGCCGTGCAAGGACCACAGAAGGTCCCAGCAAAAAAGAAAAAGAAAAAAAATAAACTGAAGAACTTTTGCCTCAGGATGACATCGAAATTCTTTAGCTTTTTTTTTTTTTTTTTTGGGCCCAGCCAGGCACGTGGTCCCAGACCACTCTGGTAGCCTAGCAAAGAAAGAAATTAAACCTCATCCATTGCGACAGAACTTCCATTGCAGTGTCCTCCGCGAAATGGCTGACAGTACTGAAAGGGGATTTAATACAAACGGCCAACTCAGGTTTGAAAACGCAGAAAATAACCCACGGCAAGTGCAACGTTGCAGATGTGCGCAACCAGACAGACACGACTTATTTCGTGCGTGGAGCATGCATGAAAGACACCTGGACTGATGAACTCATTCCGTGTCGGGACCATAAAGGAGATCGCTAGATTTTGCCAAGTGAGGATCCACCTGGATGTGCAGATCCTCTTGCCCATGATCTGTACTTGGACCTGGAGATAACCAGATGCATTCTGACCTAGCTATATTTGCCAGTTCAAACACTCAACGGCTGTGTCCTTTCACCCATTTTGTTTAAAAAGGGAGGGGGTGAGGGACAGAAGAGGGGCAGGGAGGGGGAGGAACCACGGGACGAAAAGGTTCCTTTCTTTTCATAAGGAAAAAAAAAACACACAGAAATGCGACAGCCATTTGTGGGAAATTTGAACCATTTTAAAGTCCTGTGCGGCATGATGACAGCTTTCAAACAGTCGTATGTAATGACCTGCAAAACCACAGACTGAGAACACTGTTGTTTTCTGAGTTTTGCCACTGGACTGAGCGACTTCTTGAGATTCCTGCAAGGAACACGAATACATGTTCTGGGCTAAGGCCCCAGCAAGCCTAGTGCCCGCCCTAAGTGAAGGCGGGCCAGCAAATCATTCCCGTATTCTGCGGAGATTTCCAAGTACGTGTGTGTGCGTGATGGCCGAGTTTGTGTGTTGCCTGACTGCATGATTGCTTGCGTGTGGTGAGTGACCCGCCAGGGTACTTGTGTGCTGAGACGGCTCCCAGACATGGTACTTACCTGTAGGGCGCGGCGGGAATTAGAGGTGGGCCCAGAGGTAGTCTGGGCCCCTGTACGTTGGAAAACACTTGCAGAAGAAGACAAAAAGTTAATATCAGGCCCAGGGGCCCATCCACGAGTGCACAGGGGCAGTAACACAGGGGCAGTAACAGTGGCAACAGGCAGGAAATAGCCACTGTTACTGCCCCAGGGGCCAATCCACGAGTGCACAGGGGCAGTAACAGTGGCAACAGGCAGGAAATAGCCGCCACTGTTGCATCCATAGACTTCAAAAGGATATTTCACAAGTGGAACGCGTTTGATCAACCACTCTCCAAGCCAAAGAACCGAGGCGCCAATCCACGAGTGGACAAAAATGCCAACAAGAAAAATGAAAGCCATTGACGTAACAAATCCCAGTCCTGCGGAAATTCCCAAAAAACAAAAACGACAACAAGAACCAACAACAGTCAGGTTTTTCAGCACCATACACACTTCTTCCCCTACAACATCTGGTCCCCCTCCTGTCCTTCTACGCCTTTTTGCTTCTTTCACTAAATCACTGCTCCTCCCCCCCCCCACCTTGTCAACAATTCTGGTGGGGATATTTCCCCCAAAGCAACTCGCAAAGCCATTGAAGACCCCGCTGGACCACACTAATTCATTGATTCTAGTCAAACAAAATGTTCCACACTGCACAGTACATGTACTACATAATCTCATATGGGCAAAGCACCTCAATAGGTGAGGGAAACGGTCGCTATACTTGGAAGCAAACAAATGCAGAAACAGATTAGTGATGCAGGGTTTTTTTTTGCTGAGAAATGGACGTTGCATGCCAGATCGAGTCCAGGCAAAGTTTTGAGAAAACTCACGACTCCGATAAACTACCGTCTTCGCAACAATAGGACGCCCCACCATTAAAAATAAAATAAAAACGTGTGCCCGATCATGATCACTGCATCTGTTGATAGGTTTATCATTGTAGCCCAATAATCAATCCGCAGCCAGACGGAATCGAACCAGTGACCTCGGCTATAGCAGCCGGATGCCTTTACCACTGCAACGGTGACCCGGTGTTCAAAACTGAAGCCATACCGGTCGTGACATTCAGCCCACCCCAGCACCGTTGCAGCAAGGACTTACTTGTCAACCCATGACATCCATGAGATCTTCCGCAGGCAGCAGCATCCACGCAGAATCCACGACCCTCCGCAGTTGCCGATCAGCATCCCATACACCAAACTCCAGGTGACATCCCTGGCTGGTTAATGGGCTCGTACCTGTTGATAGGTTTATTATTGTAGCCCAATAATCGATCCGCAGCCAAACGGACTTCCGCAGCCTGATGGAATCGAACCGGTGACCACTGCATCTGGACTGAAAGATACCCCAAATACAGATATAATGACCAGGCGTTCTATTCGGGTGAAGACGGTAGGAATCGATGGCAAATGAGAAACGGACGAGAACCAGAACGCATAGCTTGATGAAATCCTCTCCAATCATTACATTACAATTCTAAAAATAATAATCATTGAATAGCAAACTCCAACTCCTGCAGCAGCTACCAAAAAAAAAATTGCAATCTTCATAACCCCATTTTGATGTAACCCCTAAAGCAACCCTACAGTCTTCCCCCGAATACAACGTACGGTCATTATAGCTGAATTTGGTGTATCTTTCAGTCTAAATTCAGCTATAATGACCGTACGTTGTATTTGGGGGAAGACTGTAGAGTACACGACAACAGCAAACGGGCAACATTATTACTGATTTAACAAATACTAAAAAAATAGCCTCTGTTACCTCCAGCATGACGACGGAGCATTGAAAAAAAAAAGAGCCCATACCCTAACAACCCTAAGATTTCCCATGTGAGCCTGCTAGCGCCTCCATTAGAGAATATTCGTTCACAAACAGTCATGTGAACAAGTACTCTTTGATTTTCCAGCAGCCTCGAGGGCAGAGGAAAGCAGGTTGCCTTGCCCTTCCCAAATATTCACTATCTTATATATCTACGTCATCCCAGCACAATCTGCACAGCACGACGACTCAAAAGGAGATCGTGGAGATCCCCAATAGTGGCATAATAATTCAGGTTCAATTTCAGGGAGTGAGTACAACAAACATTCGCATGGCAAAAGTTCACAGCTAGAGCTACCAACTCCTCTTGGCACCTCGCTAACAATATCCATGCTATGCGCTGCTGACATGCCCAAGGTAGGACTAGCGCTTCCCACTGAAAAGTACCCACAACCGACAAACTACTCGAACCGCCCAGCAAAAAGCACAGCCCTTCTCCCCTCGAACTGCGAACACTATTCTCGGGGCTTACTCCTCTCTCTCTCTCTCGCGCGCGCCTTTCCTCTCTCTCTCTCTCTCTCTCTCTCTCTCGCTCACTGCCCTTATCAGGCCCAAGCTGTTCTCTTGCCATTTATAAGTCAACTCTGCAATGCGCGAACTTTTAATTGCTCTGTTGGATAGGGAGAGGGAAGGAAAGGGGGAGAAGGAACTGGGTGAAATGTAAACACAAAGACAAGAACGAAGAGGAGGGTATCTACAAGATACAAAGAGGGCGTGCATGTAGTCTCCTGTAAACCACATAGTAAAAAAGAAAGAAGAGGAGAGAGGGGATTGATCGAAATGGAGGCCGCTACTCACCGAAAACATGGAATCCAAACATAGCCTGGTAGAGGGGTGAGAAAAACCCATCGAAGAAAGTCAAAAACCACCAAGCAATGTAGCAGGTAACTGCGATTGGGAACAAGATCACACTGGCAATGGCAATGACAAGTTCCCAGCAGCACACAAAACCAAGCAGCAGCATGAGAACGGGTCAGACCGAACACCTTAGCGCATACAGAGGGGTCCATTGAATCAACAGCAAAAGAACTCAGGTCTAAACGGAGTTGAAATAGAAACACAAGTGCCGACGAGACTAGCTCAGTTGTTGGTACACCCATGAATTGTCAAAATAGTAAAATACAGACCGCACTCAAACCCATATGGAACTAGAACAAAATCTAATTCTGAATTCCCTGGGGCAGGTCAGTTCAATCTTGATATTTAAAGGCCTCCACCATTTAATAACAAAAAAAAAAGGAGGAAACACAACATATACAGAAACAACTGAGCCAATAGCATCCACCTTTCTTTCAGTCTTATCCAGCAGTAAAATGTGTGTTTGCCATGGTCAAACACCGCAACAAAAAATGCAAGGGAACCCACATTTCAAGCGATTACCATTGGGGGGGGGGGGAGGCAAAGGAAACCCGCATGCTAAAGGATTTTTATCATGGAGGGAAAGGGGAAAAAAAAAAAAAAAAAAAAAACACTTAGGAACCAAAATGCTCGGGGAGACTAACCAAATCCGTCCACAAAC